CACGGAAAGTTTATCAGTATTGTCTGTTCTTTCCAGTAGATAATTACAAATTAATTTTTAAATTCTATAGTCAAGTCAGGTTTTCCATTCAGTACAGGGCAAAGGGTAACAAAGAATAGGGCTTTTAGTTGCCAGAGGCTCTCCATCTGCTTTCTAGTCTATGTCTTTAGTAAGCCAAAAAGTTCTGGGGCCCTCATTGTTTCCTGGTTCTTTATAGCTTCATCGTCTCTGCTGTTTTGATTTGGGTGTAAGGAAGCCAGGTCAGTAATAGGTAATAGGTAAAAGGGAAAGACCAAATAAATAAATGGCAACACCAATGGTAGAAACTGCCACATTTTAAGTGTAAAATTAATGTGAGATAACTCAGAAAGAATTCATGCAAATGAATAAGAAATAGACAAACAACTCTGTGGAAAAATAGGCCATGGATACAAACAGGTTAGAGGAAAAGAAATTCAAATGGCCAATAAATATATAAAAAGATGTTCAACCTTATTCATAATTAAGAAAATGCAAAGCAAACCATCAAGTAAATATTTTTTTCACCTATTACATTGAGAAAATAAAGTGTTGGTAAGAATGTGGGGAAATAAGCACTCATAACTTTTGGTGCAGGTATAAACTGGTATAACCATGGGCATTGGTAATATTCATCATATGGGTATTGGTAGCATTCATCAAAATTTAACTGCATGCATCCTTTGATTTAGCAATTGCCTTGATAGGCATTTAATGTAGAGTCAGACTTGCATAAACTGATAAGGATGTTGAGTGTATACTGTAAAAACCAAAAAAAAAAAAAAAAAAAAAAAAAAAAAAAAAAAAAAATAGTCATTAAAAATAATGAGGCAGATCAGCATTTCCTGATACGAAAATTCACTTACTAAAATAAAAAAGGAAGGTAACAAAGATTGATCATTGTGTGATCTTTCTGTATAAAGTTTAAAATATGATAAATACATCTATGTGGCTATATTTATTAAAAATGGTTAACAGATGTACACCTTGGTGACTATACTAAAATTATTGAATTGTATACTTTAAATAGGTAAACTTTATAGTATATGAATTATATCTCAATAAAGCTGTCATTTTCAAAGACTGTTACTAGGTTAACAGTTGTTAAACTTTGGAGAGAGGAATTATGGAAGGGGACAGGGAATGAGGTTTACACTTTTCATTATGTAATTCTCTGAACTATCTGAATTGTCATACCACAAATATGTATTACTTCTATTTTAATTTTTTATGTCAACAGGAGTTATCTGTGTGATAGGAATATAGTTAATTTGTTTTCATCTGCATATTTGTCTGTATGAAGAAATGAGATATATACAATTAAATGAGAAAATACAAGTCCTTTTAGCCTCACACCAACTACATATGTAAATCACAGTCAAACACCAGTCTGGATTTGATCTGGGGAATTCCCATGGGAGATGACTACATTAATAAACAAGAGGAAAAAAATGTACCTGTTTGCAGTATTTGGTTATCGCTGCTCCTAGAGGGTGTTCACTGTTACTTTCAGCAGTTCCCACAATGGCCAAGATTTTATGCTGTGATATCCTGTTACTTTCTGTTAGAACCTTTACTTGATTCACTACCGGGGTTCCATGAGTAATGGTTCCAGTCTTATCAAATACCACTACCTTTACCTGTAAGAAAATTAAGATACAATGATTTGATAATCCTCCACATCACCTTTACAGAAAGAAGAAAAAGGTCTGTTTTCACAGATGACTATTTAGTTTCTTAGTAAACTGACCTTTGACTTAAAAAACTGATGGTCTTTGGGAAAATAAAAGAAGAAATATCTTAGTTATACTTAATAGCTCTCCTCTGCCAATGTTGAACTGTTTATTCATGCTAAATGACTATGAATATATGTTAAACAACTAGAGTTAATTTTTAAGGGCTGACTGTTAATAGGTAATTAAGAGATGCCTCTAGTGCCTCAAGGGAAAAAAAGAAAGGCTTCCAATACTAATGAATTATAGATCTGATAGGGAAATCTAAGCAGTAGGGAAATGATTGTAAGAATAAAGGTAAGTAATTAAGTTGAAATGAGCACCAGATAAGACCTTTTGGTCACTTAGGCTTTATTGGTTAGGTCTAGGTTAAAATCTGAGGCTGAGAAGACAGCTCAGTGAACCAATGTGGGAAAACTCAGCCCAGATAGAAAAAAGGAAGAGTCTAGAATTAGAGAACACAGTCACCTTATAGTAAACTCAAAATAGAAACTCTGAAAAATTAGTAGCCTAAAGAACCAAGATGAAAGCAATGACAACCAAATACAAAGTATGATTCTGGCCACATGCAGTAGCTCATACCTGTAATCTCAGCACTTTAGGAGGCCAAGGCGGGCAGATCACTTGAGGCCAGGAGTTTGAGACCAGCCTGGCCAACATGGTGAAATCTCATCTCTACTAAAAATACATAAATTAGCTGAGTGTGGTGTTGCAGACCTGTAATCCCAGCTACTTGGGAGGCTGAGGTGTGAGAATCACTTGAACCTGGGAGGTGAAGGTTTCAGTGAGCCAAGATCATACCACTGCACTCCAGCCTGGGTGACAGAGTGAGACTCTGTCTCAAAAATAAACAAAACTGCTGGGCATGGTAGCTCACGTCTATAATCCCAGCACTTTTGGAGGCTGAGGTGGGCGGATCACTTGAGGTCGGCAGATCAAGACTAACCTGGCCAACATGGTGAAACCCCGTGTCTACTAAAAATACAAAAAATTAGCTGGGCGTGGTGGTGCATGCCTGTAATCCCAGCTGCTAGGGAGGCTGAGGCAGGCGAATAAAAAAATATACATATCAAAAAGAAAAATAAACAAACCAACAAAGTATGATTCTGGACAAGACAAAAAAAAAACAGATATAAAGCACATTATTAGGACAACTGAGGAAACTGGAACATGGGCTACAGATAACAGCATTATATCAATATTAATTTATTGATTTTGATAGATATACTATGGTTACATAAGAGAATGTCCTTATTCTTAGGAAAAGAGCCCTAAGAACTGCGGTAAAGGGCATATAGGAGTTCTTCATACTAGTCTTGCAACTTTCTTTTCCTTTTTTTGAGACAAAGTCTTGGTCTGTCACCCAGGCTGGAGTGCAGTGGCGCAATCTTGGCTAACTGCAACCTCCGCCTCCCAGGTTCAAGTGATTCTCCTCCTGAGTAGCTGGAATTACAAGCACACCACCACGCCCAGCTAATTTTTATATTTTTAGTAGGGACGGGGTTTCACCACTTTGATCAGCCTAGTCTCGAACTCCTGACCTCATGATCTGCCCGCCTCAGCCTCCCAAAGTGCTAGAATTACAGGTGTGAGCCACCATGCCTGGCTAGTCTTGCAACTTTTAAGTTTGAAATTGTATCAAAATTTAAAATGTCTATAAAACTACTAGTCTGTATTCTTTGGCTAGGCTCCAGATTTGTTCTAAACTATGTTTTATGTTTACTACAAACCTCTGTATATAGCTTACATCCTCACAATAAGAATATACTAGTAGAAACATGGTTTTAGCTCGAGTTAAGTAGCCTTGAGTCTATTATGGAAATCCTAATATGAGATCAGAGATAGAATTATATTCCTAAAGTCATAGCTGCAAACCGTTGGCTGGTGGCAGCAAAGGCAAAGAAACTGCACTGTAATTGAAGGTCCCAGTGAAGAAAACAAACATCAAGTCACACACAAATAGATTACAAGGCTGCTAACGTTTGGCAAATTTTCCTGGGCAAATACCTGTTCTGTCTTTCTGCCATAAATACTAGTCTGGTCTGAGCTAGGATAGGAGTCTAGGTTTTCCACATTAGGGTGTGCTCTAATAGAATAGGCCTAGAGTAGTTTTAGGGATCTTAGGTAACTAAGGCCAATCTGGAGCAGAACCAAAATAACACATTTCCTACCTCAAATTCCTAGATAGTCCTAGAAGCAGCTCAGCACATGGACCACGCAGAAATTATTTAGGAGTATGTGTTTCTCAACAGGGATAGTATTGATAGTTTGGTGGGACAAGTTCTAGTTTTGGGAACTGACTTACCTTATGAGCCATCTCCAATGGCTCTCCGCCTTTTATTAGTATGCCATTTTGAGCACCTACTCCTGTACCCACCATCACAGCAGTTGGAGTGGCCAGTCCCAGTGAACAGGGACATGCAATACACAGAACTGTGATAGAGGCTTGGAAAGCAAATCGTAGTATCGTTTCTGTTCGGGAGATACTTCTATTGTAGCCCTTTAGAAGAAAGGCATAAATTTTGGTTATTGACTTAGAGCTGTACAAAACCAAAGAAACAAAACTTAACACTATTTAAATAAAACCACAATTTCAAAAGTGACATATCATACCTAGCTACCTACATATATTTTTTAGTTACAGGTAAGAAAACACTTTCTTTTATAAATATAAGAAACTGAGACATACTGAGATTCTAGAATTACAAACTATGGACCGAATATAAGGGCTCCATATTGAAAATAAATGTTTTTATTAGAAATCTTCAGAAATAGCTGTAAATGTGAGACATAATTTTCAAAAATTTGATCCTGAATAAACAGAATTCTTAATCTCTGTATAGTAAAACCATAAATCTGCCTTTTATGCCATTCTTGAAAGATAATGAAAAAGAATTACGTGACATGCAAAGGGACCTTAGTCATATTTCAACAAAATCCTTTTGGATGCAACAATGCCAACCAAGTGTATCTGCTAATTAAGCTCTTCATGACGTTCAGTGTTTGCTCATGTGGGAAAAATATAATTGGTAGTTTTAGAAGAAATCTAAGACATCCTGAACTCATGAGGAAAATTCCTGAAGGAAACACATTCCAAACTACTTGCTGGATGGTGCAATGGCTCACATCTGTAATCCCAGTGCTTCGGGAGGCTAAGGCAGGAGGATTGTTTGAAGCCAGGAGTTTGAGACCAGCCTGGGCAACATAGTAAGACCTCATCTCTACAAAAATTTTTTTTAAAAATTAGCCAGGCATGGCCAGGCACAGTGGCTCACACCTGTAATGCCAGCATTTTGGGAGGCCAAGGCAGGTAGGTCACCTGGGATAAGGAGTCCGAGACCCACCTGGCCAACATATTAGAGACAGGATCTCTACTAAAAATACAAAAATTAGCTGGACGTGGTGGCACATGCCTGTAATCCCAGCTACTTGGGAGGCTGAGGCAAGAGAATTGCTTGAACCTGGAAGGCAGAGATTGCAGTGAGCCGAGATCCACTATTGTATTCTAGCCTAAGAGATAAGAGGGAAACTCTGTCTCAAAAAAAAAAAAAAAATTAGCCAGGCATGG